CTGCTGTGGGACGTTTCCATCTGACTTTGACATCCGGATACTGAGGCTGAACATCCTACTTCATGTGTCCAATGTCATATAACTATAAAGGGGCACACAGTCAGTGTTGAGCACAAAAATACCTCCTTCCAATGCTCATGCTCTTAAGCATGGTGGTGTTCTAAAATCCCCCCAGCTCCAAGCCAAAGCCTCTATGACGGATGATGATCTCTTCTCACCACCTCCTTCAGCGTGCCCACAGATCCCCCACAATGTTCACCTTCTTTTGTTGAGACGGTCAGTATTTGAAAATGCTTCAACACCAGGCAGAAGGCTTTCAGTGCTTCTTCCTCCAAAGCGGGGAGCTGAGTCCTTCTTTGTTCTTAATCTGGAAGCTCCGCTGAAGCCTGTTCACTTTGGGCAACCCTGCTGGCATTTGAAATACCAGCGAAATAGTTTACAGCTGCACAGCAACACACAGCCACCGCAGTATGACGAACACAGAAGAAGTGGTGACGTGGATCGGGTAAAGCCTGTGGGAATGGAGCCTTCAGGATCTTCATTTGCTGATGGAGCAAGACTCAAGATAAAGAGAACTTGGAATGTGCAAAGTATGAATTTAAGAAAACTGAAAGGGGTAAAAGACATAACGGAATGCATGAGGATCAATAACCTGGGCATTAGTGAGCTGAAGTGTATTGGTAGTGGCGACACCGAATAAGAGAATCGTATTATTGACTATGCTGGGAGTAACACAATCAAGAGGAAGGGAATACGAAAATCGTATTATTGATCATGCTAGGAATAACACAATCAAGAGGAATGGAGTGGCATTCATCATGAGAAAAGATCTTGCTAAATCCATCATGAAGTTCAATACTATCTGTAATGGGTTTATCTCGATACATCTTCAAGAAATCCGATCAATACCACTATTATTCAAACTTATGCATCAGCCACAAAAGCTAGTGATGAACAAATTGAGGAATTCTGCCAATGACTTCAGTCGGAAATTGATCAAGCATGCTATCAAGATGCACCGATAGTTATTGGTGATTGGAATGCAAGAAGTTGGGGGGGGGGGTGGCCGAAGGAAGGAACAGTGGTTGGAAAATATGGACTTGGTGAGAGAAATGAAGCTGGAGATTGCACGCTGGAATTTTGCAAAACCAAAGACTTCTTCAAGCACAAACCTCTTTTCACCAACACAAAAGGTGACTAGTCACATGGACTTCCCCAGATACAGCGCACAGAGATGAAATTGATGACATCTGTGGGAAGACACAATGAAGAAGCTCACCATCAGCAGCCAAACCAGACCAGGGTATGGCTGCGACACAGACTGGCAATTGCTCATATGTAAGTTCAGAATAAAGATGAAGAAAATTGAAACAAGCCCTCGAAAGCCAAAATACAACCTTGAGTCTATCCCACCTGACCTTCAGGAACATCTCAAGAACAGATTTGACTCAATGAACACGTGTCCTGTGGGAGGACATCAAGATCATAGTCGTGAAGCAAGCAGAAGGTTATTAGCCAGAAAGACAGAAAAGATTAAAGTGGATATCAGAAGAGACTTTGAAACGTGCTATTAATCACAGAGTAACGCAATCAAATGGAAGAGAGAATGAAGTTAAGGAGCTGAATAGAACATTTCAAAGAGTAGCTCGAGTATGCAAAGTCAAATATTATAACAAAATGTGGAAGGACCTAGAATTTAAAAATCAAAAGGGAAGAACATGCTCAGCATAACTGAAACTGAAAAAATCCATCAAAAATTCAAGTCCTGAATTGCAATTCTGGAAGATTCTAAGGGCAAAATACTGAATAGTGCAGGGAACATCAAGGGAAGATGGAAGGAATACACAGAGTCACTGTATCAGAAATAACTGGTTGGCAGTCCACCATTACAGGAAGAACCAATGGTGTGGAAGAAAGAAGTTCAAAGTGCACTGAATGCATTTACTAAAAATAAGGCTCCAAGAATTGATGGAATACCCATTAAAATGTTTCAGAAAGCTGAAGAAACACTGGAACCACTCACTCATCGATACCAGGAAATTTGGAAGACAGCTACTTAGCTAACTGACTGGAAGAGCCATATTTGTGCCCATTCCAAAGAAAGGTGACCCAACAGAATTCTCAAGCTGCAGAACAATATCATTGATATGACACACAAGTAATATTTTTGCTGAAGATGGTCCAACAATGGTTGTGGCAGTACATTGACAGGGAACTGCCAGAAATTCAGGTCAGATTCAGAAGAGGACATGGAACAAGGTATACCATTGCTGCTGTCAGAGGGATCTTGGCTCATTGCAGGGAACAGTAGAAAGATGTTTCCTTGTATTTCATTGACTATGCAAAGGCATTCGACGGCATGAATCATAAGAAACTGTGGATAGCCTTGAGAAGACTGGGAATTCCAGAATATTTCACTGTGTACATTTGGAACTTGTATCTGGATCAAGAGGAAGTTGTGGGAACAGAACACGGGAATACTGCATTGTTATAAAAGCAGGAAAGGTGTGTGTCGGGGTGGTTTCTTCTCATCACACTTGTTCAATCCATAAACTGACCACATCATCAGAGAATCTGGATTATATGAAGAATGCAGCATCACAATTGGAGGAAGGCTTATAAACAACCTATGATATGCAGATGGCACAATCTTGCTTTCTAAAAGTGAAGAGGAACTGAAGCACTTGTTGATGAAGATCAACAATTGTAGCCTTCAGTATGGATTACATCTCAGTGTAAGGAAGACCCAAATCCTCACAACTGGACCAGGAGGTAACATCATGATAAATAGAGAATCAATTGAAGTTGTCAAGGATTTTGTCTTACTTGGATCCACAATCATCAATGCTCATGGAAGTAGCGGTCAAGAGATCAAACGATGGATTGCATTCGGTAAATCTGTTGCACAAGACAAGAGCAAGGACGGAACTTTGAAGACTAAAGTGTGCCTAAGACTAAGGCGAAGAATATTGAAAGTCCCATAGACTGCTAAAAGGACAAACCGACCTGTGTTGAAGAAGGAAGGCCAGAGCGTTCCTTAGAGGCAAGGATGGCAAGACTTCATTACATACTTAGCACATATTGTCAGAAGAGACCAGTCCCTGGAGAAGGACATCATGTTTGATAGAGCGTGGGGAGGGGAGGCACGCGCAACAACAAAAGAGGAAGGCGCTCACGAGATGGGCTGACACGCTAGCAGCGTCCAGGGGCTCAAGTAGAGGAACAATTGTGAGGACAGCACAGGACAGAGCAGTGTTTCACTCTGCTGGGCGCAGGGTGGCTATGGATCCGAGCCGCCTCGGCGGCCCTTAACAACAACAAACGCCTACTTACACCAGGGGCTTTGCAGGTGGCCCATGACGGGGCCGACGTTTAAAGAAGCTGCAAAGCAGGAGCAGAGTGGGCGCACTGGTGTCCACACTTCAGGATGTCATGGTCCCAAAAGGAACGTCTAACACAAAGCGATAGGCACAGGATTGCCAACCCTCTGTGCTGCCAAGTCCAATCTTTTCCCCAACTACTGGTAATAATAATCACCATTATCTCCTACATGTGCATAAGAATGGCTATAAAGGCACACACACAAGGGCTGTAAGTATTGAATGAAAAACATTACACATTTCTTGTGGATAACGAGTATTCTATTAGCTTCATTCTCCTCATTTTTCAGCAGATTGGATTTGGCTTTTGCTATACTCAAGACAGTTGACGGTCATAAGAAGTCCTCTTAACATGCAGTAATATGTCTCTGGGGACTCTGCGGTGCTCTCCCAAAATCCTTGCCTTCCGCACAGGAGGCCTGGCTTTGGCTCCTGGCCTGGGCACCTCAAGCACAGCGCCCCCTGTCAGTGGTGACTGGAATGCTCCTATGATGCTGAACAGGTGTCTGCAGAGCTTCCAGGGTAAGACCAGCTAAGAAGAAAAGTCTGGTGATCAGGGTCCTCAAAATCTCAGTTGGTGAAAAAGCCTATGAATCACAATGGCCCAATCTGCCACCCATCAGGTGATGGTGGAAGACTGGACAGTATTTTATTCCACCATGCGTGGGGTCAGCATGAGCCTAGGCCAATTTGTTGGCAACTAACAACAATATGACCCAAGACTCTAGATAAGAATCCTGAGGGGGGAGGGGGTTAGGATGCTGAGAAAGAAAGGAGCAGATGTGGGCCAGCATTCCAAATTCAGATGGAATCCAGACTTCCCAGAACCATGGCAGCTGGATGAATCTCCTGAAAACCATCGCCCTGACATAATCTTCCACCTTAAATCCAGAAGTTCCCTGGAGTGGTCTGTCAACCAAACCAGAGCATAGGGTAACTTGTAAAGAATGTCTGCCTGGAAGCCTGTGCCCTTTTACAGAATTATCTCCAAAGGTTGTCCAGGGAGCTTGCTTCTGGGAGCAGTTCTGACAAGGAGGGTGAGAACGGACGCACAACCTAAAGAACGGAATCATTGTCCATGCAGCACTTGTTGAGTTGGTGCACATTCTGAACAACATCGGGCCTAGCTGGTTTAGGAGAATGAAAGTGCATACCTAGGCCAGTACAGGTGTCTGTGAGAAGGCGCAGTCTGAGAAGGCCAGTTTTAAGGGGTTCAGCCTTAAATGGAGTGGCCCATCAAAGGCAAGCTGTGGGGAACAGGCTGGTGGTTGAGTCTACTTCCAGGCCCTAAGGCATGAGGACCTGCCAGCACAGAGGACGGAGGCAGAGAAGGCCACCAACAAGAGTGTTTGCTAAGGTGTGACGTCAACCCGAGGCTCGGTCTTGCACGGTTATTGCCCATGACTAAACAATGGCTCTCCTTCTCCAGAATCATTTAGGCTACCTTCATCCTCTTCCCCCTCCTCTTCATCATACACCAAAGGTGGACTCGGCATCCCTGAGCGCTGATGTTCTTGTCAATGATTTAGGTGGGATCTGCTGGAGGCCTGGGAACTGCTAGAGACAGAGAAGGCTGCAAGTACCAAGAATAAGAAAAGGAGGTTTAAGCAAAGACCTTACCTTTCTCGGAGGTGGGCCATGGTCATCCAAATAAGTGGAATTTCCTAGGAGAAAAAAAAAGAAGAAGAGCTGATAAATCATCTTAAAAAAAAAAAACTCCAAATGGATGAAATGCAAACCCACCGAAAAGAGGCATTTGAGATATATTTCTAATCAGACAACAGTGCTAGAGAAAAACAGGTAACAAATAGCCAATTAAAATAACTGTTGCTCCTACCCCCTTCGGCTCATAGGATTAGCAGTTATAAACAGCCATGCACACGGAGAGCATGTGTACTGACATGCACCCACTGACGCAGATCAGTGGGATTGTCCTCACATCAGATGGTTCTCAAATGGCTGTGTGCACATCTGGATGACCTTTAATACCAAACCAGACCAAACTCACTGCCGTTGAGTCACTTCCAACGCAGTGACCCACTAGGGGAGGGAAGACAGGCCCCTGTGAGCTTCCGAGACTGTAACTCTTTAAGGGAGGAGAAAGCCCATCTTTCTCCTGAGGAGGTGGTTTCTAACTGATGGGCTTGCGGTGAGCCACCCAATACCTAACTACTATGCCACCAGGGCTCCTCAACGACCTTGAGGCCGTGCTAATCACACAGACTGCTCAGCCTCACCCTGCCCCTCTCCGAGTTTCTGACTCATTGTTTCTGGGAAATGGCCTTTCTAAGAAGCTCCCCGATGACACAGCCGTTGCTGGTCCTACAAGCACAACTTGAGACCCACTGCACCCCATCGTCTCTCCAGTTTGTCTGAGTGTTTGCTTGCCAGGCCCACCAAAGTCCAGCTTGGTTTTGAAGCTACGTTTATCTTAGCTACTAGCCACTTGGAGTTCCTGATTGGCGCACGAGTAGTAAAATGCTTGATTACTAGCCCAAAGGTTGTAAGTTTGAGTACACCCAGAGGTGCCCGGAGACAGGCCTGGGGATCCCATAAGGATCCTCAAACACAGTCATCCTTCTGCACATGTAGGCTCACCATGAATCGTCATGGATACCAAAGAGCCACTTACTAGCATCTGCGTCCTCAGAAAGGAAAGGCAAGTTTATTAAGTTCCTAGTCCAGCTCCCTCAGTGGACCACCCCGAAAGGGGCTGGATTAGGTGTGCCTGGATAGAGGGGGAGAGAACCGTGGAAGAAAACTCAGAATCATAAGGAAGGCCAGGCTTGATTGTCTGGGAGAGATTGGTGGATGCCCTTCAGTCAATGATATAGGTTGGTAAGGTGCACACCATACTAGTGGAGTACTCCCTCTTTAGAACAATCAACCAGGCCAAAGGGGGCAGCATTTGCCAGGCGCTAAAGCTCTGAAGGCAGGCTGGAAAGAAAAAGGAAGAACAAGGTAAACGTAGACAGGAAGTGGGTAGAGGGCTTTACATTGGGGGGACTGCAATCAAGGTCACAAGTGAAATGTGTATCACTGTTGAACCTAAGACCAGGATACTCTATGAACTTCCACCCAAATCACAATATAGAAAAATGACTGAGTTCCTTTGATGTATCTGCCAAGTGCTTTCTCCCTGCCATCCGATCAATCAGTGCTGGCTCACAGTGACCTCCCTGTGGGTTTCCAAGACAGTAACTGTTTTATGGGAGTAGAAAGCCCCATCTTTGTCCCATGGAGCTGCTGGTGGTTTCGAACTGCTGACCATGAGGATCGCAGCCTAGCACGTAACCACTGCACCACCAGAACTTCCTGCTGAGTGCTTTACAGGAACCCATTCATTGCATTCCAATGATCAGAGGTAGGTTATAAAATTACACCCATTTCACAGAGGAGAGAACAGAGGCTGGAAGAAATTCTGGCACGTGCTCACTGTCACCCAGCACAATGCAGAGAAGGCCGGCTTTTCCAGAGCGAGCTAGACACTTATTCGTCTGAACTGCCTACTTAGCGTCTTGTCATTGTGGCCAACATTATCAGCTGGTCCCATGCCCCATGTTTGGTCGCACGAAGGAGCTGTTATTTAGAGCTGAGTATAATCTGAAAGCCCCCTCTTGTCATTCTACATGATATCATCTCTACCCCCAAAAAGTGTAAACATGATCAGATTGGTTCCACAGAATGTAGAAAACACTGCAAACAGAAAGACCCCTACAGCAGTGGTTCTCAACCTTCCTAATAGCGTGACCCTTTCAGACAGTTCCTCATGTTGTGGTGACCCCCCCAACCATAAAATCATTTTCATTGCTACTTCATAACTATCATTTTGCTATTGTTATGAATCATCATGTAAATATCTGATAGGCAGGATGTATCAGGCGACCCCTGTGAAAGGGGCGTTCGACCCCCCAAAGGGTCGTGACCCATAGGTTGAGAACCGCTGCCCTACAGGGAGTGCCGGGAATCACGTATAGGTTCTAGTCTAGCAGGCTGGAGGGGGTTGGGGACGAGAGAAACAAAGGAATTTAAGACACAAAAATCCGAAGGCAGCTAATGCCAGGACCGTGAACTGGGCAAGCTCATCAGGTGTTGGAAATAAACGGCTTGACTTTACAGGTCTCTCTCTACTGCGCCAGCACCCACCCCCAATCCCCTCCTTTTCCTTTACAGCTTCTGATGTATAAAGCGCTTGAAGTCCAAATGACTGTCCTCCTGCTGGCTGACTGGAGATGGGGAGGGGCAAGCGGCTCCCATTTTCATCAGCTCGGCACTCACCCAGAAACGTACCCCTCCTTGGGGGAACGAGATTAAAAATCTGTTCGATCTTAAGGACATAAGTAGGCAGTAACACGTAATAAACTCAGGCTTCATGTATCCAGTTTGTAATGCTTACTGATACATGAAGTCTTCAGTTAACCTTGTCATTGTTGTGAAGTGCCGTCACGTCAGTCCCAACTCACAGTGACCCTGTGTACAACAGAAGGCAAAGCACCGGTCCTGGCCCATCTTCACAATGGTCACCTGTGAGCCCACTTTGGCAGCTGCTGTGTCACTGCCCCTCGTGAAGAGTCTTCCTTTTTATGCCCGCCGACCCTCTCCTTTACCCAGCATGCTCTCCCTCTCCGGGGACATAGTCGTGGAGTGCACAGTGTCTCTCAAAAGTGGGTGGACAAACTCATCATGGACAGCTGGAGAAGCAGCTCTCCCGGAGTGATGGAATTTCTTGGAAGTCTGACTCACGGCTGACCTCCTGGGCACTCAGCCCCATGACTACACTTGATGAACGAAATCGGGCATGTTCTTCACCTCTCTGTGCCCGTGTCTTCTTATGCCAATAAAGACAGTGGGGGGACCCAGCTTAGAGATAGGACCTGTAACAAAGTAATGCACCGGCAGTATTTCCCTAGGGACCAGGCACAAAGTAAGCCCTTGATGAAAGTGAGCTACTGTGATGAAAGGAGTCCCTGGGAAAGGAGGCAAATGGTTACATTCTAGGCCGTTAACTGAAAGGTTGGGGGGTTGTGTCCACCCCTCCAAAAAACCTCCCGGCCATCAAGTCGGCTGACTCATGGCGCTCCTCTAAGATATGAAAGAACGGCCCCTGTGGGTTTCCGAGACTAACTCTTTACAGAAGTAAAAAGCCTTGTCTTTCTCCCACAGAGAAAGCTGGCGGTTTTGAACTGCTGACCTTGCGATGGGCAGCCCAACATGCAACCAGTATGCCACCAGTCTCCTTAGTCACCTTGAAAGTTAGTCACCGCTTGACAGTCTACTTCCAGGAGATCACCCAACACCAAACCAAATCCACTGCCATCCTGTCTGTGCAGACTCCTGGCGATTCCCTGTAGGGTTTGGCAGACTGTGGATCTTCACGGGAGCAGAGAACCTCCTAATGCTCCAGCAGAGCAGCTGGTGGGTTTGAACCACCGACCTTATGGACTGCGCCACCAGTGGTGTGCAATCTGACTCTGCACCACACGGGGTCACCAGGAGTCAGACCAGCTCCACCGCTGTGTGTTGCTGTGTTTTGGGGGGTCAGGTTCAAAGTTTGTATTATCCCCTCAGCAGAGGCAGATGGAATATATTCTTCAACGACAGGAACAAGAAACACCCATCAAGGTTCACATTAAAGAGCAAAACTGACCACTCCTCCCCCATCCCCGGGAGGGAGTTTTTGCTGAGTTACTGCTGGCTCAGCTGTGTTACATCCTCTGTGAGTTCCTGCGTGGGAAACCGCAGCACTGAGGGAAGAGAACTGTGTATTTGAGCACCAGGGTCAACCGCCTCCCTTCTCACTCAGTGATCTCTAAAAGTTATAAATGAAGGACAGTGGCTTTGGGGTGAAGGCAGCAGGCCTGTACACAAAACGATTCCCTGGCTTTCAGATGTGAGCAAACAAGTCGTTGGCATTCTGCTGGGCAGACTTAAGTCTCACCTCACACTCTAAAAGCACCTGGTAATAAAAGTTTCAAAAGAATGGTAATCAAGGGTTTGGGTGACACGGTGTGCTCATTCATGCTCCTGAGGCAGTCTCTCATTATCCAGCCACCGTGTACTGACCACCAACTCATTCATCAGAAGGGGGAACTGACCACAATGATTGACGTATAACAGCCCCCCCACCCCCAGGGGAATGAACAACAGAAATGTGAGTGAAGGGAGACAGCAGACGGTGTAAGATATGAAAATAATGATCATTTATCAAGGATTCACAAGAGGGGGAGGGGAAGAAGGAAGGGACAAAAGAGCTGATACCAAGGGCTCAAGTAGAAAGAAAACATTTCGAAAAGGGTGGTGGCAACATGTAGACAAATGTGCTTGATACAATTGGTGTATGGATTTTTATAAGAACTGTAAGAGCCCCCAATAAAATGATTTATTAAAAAAGTGGGGGGAAAGGAGCTGAAAACCCAATAAAAATTGCAGTTCCCTAACCCAATTCTACCTTACAGATCTGGCTAAACCAGAGTGTGTACACGGGTACAGATAAGAGCTGGAAATACAGGGAATTCAGGACAGATAAACCCCTCAGGAACAATATTGAGAGTAGCCATACCAGGAGGGGAAAGGGAAGATGGGGAGATAGGGGGAACTGATCACAATGATCTACTTATAACCCCCTTCCAGAAAAGTGGGTGAAGGCAGACATGAAAAACCAATAATAATTTATAAATTATCAAGCATTCATGAGGAAGGAAGGGGGGGGGAATGAGAAGCTGATACCAAGGGCTCAAGTAGAAAGGAAATGTTTTGAGAATGATGATGGCAACAAACGTACAAATGTGCTTGGCACAATGGATGGACAGATGGATTGTGACTAAGGGTTGTACGAACCCCCAATAAAATGATTTATAAATAAATAAATCATGATTTTTAAAACTGCAGTTCCAATTTTTGTCCTATTCCTGAGTGAATAATGATCATCATTCGATTCCAATGCTGAGCCGAGTGTCTTATAAGGATGGTTTTACGGAACTCTCTCAACGACCTCAGGAGGTGACACAAGTATCTAACACCAGGGCCAGTAAACAAGGCCATGGAACTGGAGCCAAACGATTCAGTGGAATCGGGGGCTTCAAAGAGTTAGTGGGAAAAATCCACTATCTTGTAATCATATATTTCATAGACGTTTGGAAACACCCTCATCCAGTGCGACCACCGCCTGTATGGCTTGCTGGCTAAGATCCAAAGTTGTTCGAGATTCTTGTCCTGTCTGTCTACTTTTCTTCCTCCCCTTTCTATTCCTCTCTTTCTCTTACACAAGTCCTGTAATCAGACGTCATGGCTCCACGAGACTGCGCTGCAAGAACAAAGGGGGAGGGTTCTCTGCAGACCCCTGATGTCCCGCCAGCAGATGACCCTGCCTGCCTCTGCCTACCAGGCGTGGGATGCCTCCCCTGAGAGTCGGGTGCCTGTGACTTTATTACAACCCGGAGGCCACGAGTCCCACACACTACAACAGAGATGCAGGAATGGGAATGATGAAAGTAGTATCTCGCTCCTCGGAGACAGCATGTGCTGTCTGTCGGGGGCTTCTGGTATCTCGGTAGAGCTTTTCCTCTGAGGCATTCGTACATGCATAGTGTGTGGGAAGGTGTCAGCTGAGGA